TCAACTTCTAAAGACCTAAGACGATAAGGCGATACCTTTATCTGATTTCTTGATGTTCTGCCTGGGTCATCAATCAAATGAAAAGCTAGCGCCAGCTAAGTTATCTCTGCATCTGCTTTCATCTGAAAATTACAACGACAAACAAAGAAAAGCAAGACAGTTTGATTTGGTATTCACCTGTCAGAGAAAACGATGGAAATTAACCGAAATTCTCCGAGGAAACAGCTACTCATCAGACGCAGAGAAATCAATAATAAAGCGACGACAAAGACAAAACGATTTAAAACAATTTAGGCAATTAAATAAACCCCACTCGAAACAATTGAAGTATTGATAATAAGTGGCCCTTTCGGTATCACTAGTCGGAGGCAACTAAACAAAGACAAGGTTTCATCCTTCTCTCCACTCTCCTCTTCGAACTGAGGTCAATGAAACCTCCGACCCGACCCGTTCTCGCAAACAAAGACAAGTAACAAAGTCTGCTAAACACAAGTTTCTCACTCTAGCAGCCTCAAGCTGTTTCTTGACAACAAGCCAACGCTCCGTGCCTGTGTTGTGGAGAACCTCAATGACATTATCTCCCAAGTCTCGTCTTATCATTTTGAGAAGACTCTTGTTTACCTGAGGAAATTCGATTAGCAAGCTTACGTTAGCTTCTGAAATATCATATCTTTTATTTAAAGTAACATACCGGGAAATCCAAATGCTTAATCGACCAGAAATAGATTTCTGGGTCGAAATAACAAAGTGATCGAGTTGAAGAGTAAGCCAGGGAACGACTGAAGTACTACACTTGATTAGAACAAAAAACATAACTGAATGGTCGCGATATCGAGGATGTTGAGTTGAGGGGGGACTTAGTATGGCGGAAACTTTAAATGTTTTCAAAATGTCCCATAAGAATCAACTTATAATACACAGAGGAAAGGAATCGTGTGTTTCCTCAATAAGGCATTTTCTTAAAGGAAAATAACGAAAACTCAAGTTGACTATATGAGCGACGACGGCCCTAGCAGGTGACACTTAAACCAATCAGGAATGACCAGAGAATGAAAGGCGAATACCATCAACAGAAACATTTCCTCTTGCGTTATTCCTACTTAAACAAATCCAAAACAGTTCTTGCACTGGTTGCAGCTTTTTCTTTGTAGTCTTAAGTGGGCCGTAGCCTTACGATGTCGTTTTTGTCTGGGTATTTCAATTTGTTACTTCAGACTGTATGACCCACTTTGTCGTATATGAAGATTCCCTTTAAACGATGCAAGAACAGCAATGAATACGGGCGAATATCGTGTGATGTGGTAGTAAGTGAAGACTTCTCGTTCCCTTTATGTTCACCTTTTAATGGCAGAACAATACAGGTTGGCCGGCTACCTCAAAAAAAAAATTAAATAAATAAACGTGCCTGACAACTGAAAGAAAACAAGTCACGATCGCCGAATAAACAGGCATCAATACTTCAATTTATGGTCTAGTGCTATCCACTAGCTTGTTTTACTGGAAAAATATGCTCACGATTTCTCTTAACTCACAACTTTATGAGGAAGTCAAACAAATTTATCTCCTGACGCACTGCTTCACCTGTTCATGCTTTCGCCAGTGTTGCTCTCTTCACCATCTTTATCCATCTTTTCCATGACTTTAATTCCCTCTTTGACATACTCACCATTTGGTTCCTCTGATCAACTGCCCCCAATCCATTTAGGGAGAATATAACCACTAGGACCGCTTTTGGCGTCAAAGCGAATATGATATCCATTAGAGTGGATTTCGGGGCTACCACTAACCCGGAATACCGAATTGAACCCGATGCCTTTTTGTCCTGAAACAGAGCCATATCGAGATCATATAGGACTACTAGAGCAATAAGTGAAAAGCGCAAAGCAGGCGATCATCGGATATGGGCCGCTTTAAGGTTTCTTGCCCAAATGGAAAAGGTAGAAAGATATTTACAATGGCAGCAAATACGTAACTGCTGCACTGACCGATGCATCCATAGCGATGCGCTCCTTTGGTACTTCTGCCCACATCATACAATGTGCGAATATTCGTCTCGATAAACCCAACCTCGTTGTTCAGTACCACTATCTTATCGCGCTCGAGGACAAATACAATGGACGGGAATCCTGGGCCACAGCACACTTCAGGATAGGAATTATCGTCGGCATTCTGAACGAGCTCCAACACAGAGTGGGTATCCCTGGCATAAAGTTCTGAGGACAGACGGTGTAAGCCACGACCTTCTCTCTCGCTTTGTCGCTGAACAAGTTTGGCTTCTTCTTTTGCCAGTCCCAGACCGATTCCAATATTCTCGCGGGGATATTTGTTCAATTACTGCTCTGCATTCCCTGATACGTGCACAAGGTTTACAAGGTGATGTTGACAATCCATCCTTAGTTTCTGAAGTTGCTGCTGGGATTATCGAGAAATGACTACAGTCACGATCAGGGATAACGATTTGTTAAGAAACTTAGCCCAGAAAATTAAAAGTGACTCGTATATAATTTCGATATTAAAGAGGTAACAGTCTTATGGCTACTTCGGAAGCAATCGTATGACATACCTTATAGACTGTAGAGGGGGAAGTAGAGAGAAAAGATAGGAGATGAAACAAAGGAAGTCACAGGAGACCGGGAGAGGCAGCATGAAAAGCTGGTGGTAGAGTTGGGCGGAAGGGAAGAAAGAAGGAAATATAACCAACTAAAAGTAGACAATGATAAATACCTTCGCTCCCATCCTTTTCATCAAAACTGCGTGCTCGTGGGAAGATTGGTTTAAGTTCAACAGAAAATCAAACAGGGAGGCAGGGTAATTTCGATTGTCCTTTACATTTATTTATTTCATTATTTATTTAAAAACTAGCAATATTCATGCGGGCTGGCCCAGTTCAGCTTCAAGCTGGTATGAATGAGGGCCTACCCAGGACATAAAGTTTGAAGTTCCGACGAAATCTGGTGGGGTATGTAAATTTTAGCCAAAACCTCGATGCAATGACCCTTATGCTTCTTCGGACAATAGATAGGTTCGGACAATTCAAACCGAGCACGGCTCCTTTCGCGTTAACTGATCTACATAATCGTTTAAGCTTTCATTCATTTCAAAGGAGCTGTGTTAAAATATCCAAAGTAGTTTTGAGACGCGGAAAACCGCTCTCGTGTAACACGAACTCGCGAAATGATATTTTCGTGGGAAAAAAGGACTAGTAACTATATAGGTACATACATTGTTCGGTTGGATAAGATAATCGCAGATACGAGTGAAACCTTAGAAGAATAGGCTAGCTTTATCAATATGCAGCAACTACATAAAGGTGCTTTGCAAGGATTGGAAGCAGACAAAGGGCGGCAGAATGTGATTATAACCATTCCATGAGAGTACAAAAAAAACTTCACTGTGGATATGCCGTTTTTTTTTGGTCTTTGGTCTTTTACGCCTCAATCTGAAGGTATCATTGAACTTCCTAAGACAGCGATAAATATGGAGGAGAAGAATTATAAAAAACATTAAGAGATAATGATAATTGTCATAAATAAGACAAAAGAAGTCTAAATAGAAGGGAACAGATATTAAGCAAAAAGATGGAAAGAACACCAGCTGAACATATTGGACTTGGTCAGTAAAACAATCTTTAGTACAAAGCTGACTGGGTACGTTTAATTATTCTTCGTATCGACAATTAAAGAAATGGCAATGCTATAGTTGACATCTTAACGAACACATCTTACTTTCGATTCTAAAAAGGAAAAAAATAGTTTATGGTTTGGCAATAGTCACGATTTCATGTGGAATAACCTAATAAGATATTTTGTGTTGATTAATTTTCGCCAGTGACAATTAGTATTGAATTAATCCTTTTATGCATCCGACTAGACTAATTTGATAACTGCACTTAAAGACAAAACAAAGAAATAAAGAAAATGCCACATGCCTTTTGAATTTTGCTTACTGAAGCGTCTGTCAGAGGAACCTTCTAGGCAATGGCTAAAGATATCAATTCTCTTTAACAGTCGCAGTATACTCAGGTGTCTGGTTCTGAAAACAAGTTGCAGTGGTGTATTGGAAATTAGCATATCCGTCTTTATTTGATATTTTTCGCCAATTCCAGTTTGTCTCATTCGGTGATGTTTTAATGCACTTGGGAAACGTTTGTAAATATATGAAAATCATACATGTGAAATGCATTGCACCGGTATCGCAGAGGTCATGGGTTCGAATTCCGTACAGGCCTGAATTTTTCAGGAAGGCACTAGATAGCATCGACCTAAACCAGATGAGTCATCGATATGCCAGCGGCCTCTCACAAAATGAACCCTCGACTTCCGCTTATTTGATCCATAATATAATGATATAATAATAATAATAATAATAATAATAATAATAATACATAATATATGTAAAATAANAAAATGATTTCATATTTTGGCGCAAAAATGGAAAACATGCTCGAGAACCAAACGGATCAAAGAGAGGTTTTTATTCTTATTTCATTGCTGTTCATTACTTGATTTATCTCTCTTCCCTTTGTTATCAAACGAGATCTCGGAATGCGTCGCGAAACTGAAACTAATTTCATTGACAGTGAGATAACAGATAAAAATAGACGTAAAGTAGGGTAAATTGAATAAACAAAATAAAATAACTAGAAGAAAGAACAGTTAAATTAATGAATGACAGGGTTGTATAAAATTTATGTATTATTATATTTAACATTTAAATGGTTACTTTTATTATTAAGTATTAACCACACCCACAACTTTTACCCACACCCACACCCACGACCCACGACTTGTACCCACGACCCACGACCATTAGTCAAACTCTGGTCGACTAGAAACTACTCACAATAATTTTCTTATCTCATGAATACACCTTGATCAAAACGTAAGTTGATTGGCTATAAAGTTCTTCCCAACAAAGATAAACAAACTGATTTGTCGGAGCGGACAGATCGTGACACTCGATTTCCGGCAGATAATTTTGAATCGTTACAATACTAATCATCCTGTTTCCGACAAAACTGTATTTTATTTTTCATTATCAAAAGGACTACGCTACAAATTCATACATTAAAACTGCTCTAAAACAATTCGAGTTGTTGATTCCTTTTTTTATAAGGCTTGTCTCTTGTGGAGGAATAGTTACAATTGGAAAAATATCGTATAAATGTTTTGAGCCTTATTAAGAAATTAAAAGCAAATAAAATGTACTGTCAGTTAAAAATTTAGATTACAGTGGTACAACAGTAGATTGACCTCAATTTAAAGCCGACTTTTTCGGAAAAGAAACAACTTAGAAAATTGACCGCCACATAAAAAATGTGTTTGAGGTCAGGTGATTTACCTCCGCTGGCTTTTTTGTTGTTTTCTTAGCACAATTTTCTGTTGGATCGTTTTTCCATTGTTCTTTGTTATTGTTAGTCAACTGATCTTCACCTTCGTTTCTTGATCACACATTTTAAGCAAGTTATTCAAAGTCGACATTAATCAAAAGATTACAATAATTCTCCATTAAACCATGCAGAAAGAGGAAAAGGATAAAAAATTAAGACATTGAAAAACTTAAAACATCCAATAAAACTATAACTCAACTTAAATAGGAAATACAAATACTAATTTTAAAAGATCGAATACACATATTGTTTGTAAAAACGTCAAGATTCCAAATCCCTAATTGATTGTTCACTACATAATTTAAATTCTCATTTTCTTCCCAGACCATTCAGCAAATTTCTTTTTCCGCACAATGATTTTCAAATATACCACCAAAACTGCATCATCTCAACTTTGACACATGCTAATATCTTTTAAATCAGCCAAAAGTTTTCACTCAAAGCGAATTAAAAAATCGAATACACATTCTGTTTGTAAAAACGTCGATTTCAAATCCCTAATTGATTGTTCACTACGTAATTTAAATTCTCACTTTCTTCCCACATCATTCAGCAATTTCTTTCCCCGCACAAATATACCGCCAAAACTGCATCATCTCAACTTTGTCACATAAATTTTTAGTTACAACAGTTACTCTGCCCACAGTCGTCATATGACCATACATAGTTTTACGGTCTTCTTTTCTAAGTGGACGGCAAGATTTTGCAAACGGCGAATTCGGACATTATTAGGTTTGCCCGCATTGAAGACACGATATAAGTGAAAGGCGACTTGGTGTTCCCATGCGAATTGAAGTTCCGGAACCGACAGCTCAAAAATGTCCTTTTGATCTGAGGACGTGGTCTTCACTTCAACGAACGTTTTTACAGTGCGTCTGTCACTTTCTCCAACACTTGGGATATGTTGTCGAATCTCAATGTCGTAGGGCGCAGTTGTGTTTCCTTTTTCGTTTATCCAGACAATTTCAAACGAACCAGGAGGTTGGCCTCGTGCTTGCTCTTGGAGAAACTGAAACACACACTGCTCTCCCCAACGACCAATTTCGTCTTTGTTTGGGTTATCCACCAACGGGATCCGCTCCAAGATCCTCAGATCAGCATTGAATTGAAGATCTTCGAAGTCAACTTCAGAAGGACCCCCATCAAACCAGAGGTATGAGCAGCTTGGAGAGGTTTGCCTCGCTAAATTGCCAGGAATGGTTTCGAGAGACTGCTCTCCGGGTATTGGTACTTGAGGTGGTATAGGCACTTGAGGTGGTATGGACACGTGGGGTGGTATGGGCACTTGGGGTGGTATAAGCACTTGGGGTGGAGGGGGTTCCACACGCTTTGCATCGTGTTGACGGCTTTCATTTTCATTGGGACACAAATCGCTTGCTATTTCACGAGCACTCATCTGCGGGTCCTTCACGATAGCATGTACAATGCTTACCTCAGGGGGTTGCTGTACATAATTTTTTGTGCATTGTTGCCCAGGGACGACTGAAACAGGATTATCCTGCACAGGGTTCCTATGGTCTCCGCTAAGGGGCTTTTCCGACGTGTCCTTAGGCGCTCTTGTGGTGTCTATATCATGTAGGGTAGGTCTCTGGACCAAATTAACATGATTCTCTTCCCTAGGAGGTTTCTCCACAGTTTCAGGAGGCTCCGGCAAGGGCCACATCTTTACAGTGGGTTCAGTTCCAGGATCCCCTTCACGTTTGCATGCCTTATCGTATTGAGCGGACGATTTTGGTGGCCAGGAATGAAGACCATCGTCGCCTGACCTCGACGGGGTGGTGCTTTCCTTGTGAAAAAGAACGGCTTCATTCACAGCCTCTTGATCATCATCCTCAACAATTTCGGGTTCCTCGGGAGGTGGAACGCTCCACCGTTCTTCGTCTTCCGGTAAAGGCTCCAAGTCCTGTTCATCTTCCAAGTAGCTGTCAAGATCATCCCCATTGTAATTTTTCACTGCAACCAAAAAGTTGCTAAGGTCTGAAGCACCCTGCATTTTCCCTCCAAACAAAAGTTTTATCATTTCGGCATTTAACACTTCTAAATTATTCTGATAGTCTTGAACGACGTAAAGACAGTATACGCCCCCTGCTTTTTGTACGCCAGATCGTTCTTCAAGGGAAACATGAACGTCAGGATGTGTGGTCAACGAATAAACTGTTGCCAAACTTGGTACGGAAGCAAATTGCATCTGTGGCAGTTTCTGTGAAAATCCTTGATGGCTCAGTTCATTGTACACCGATTGATACCTAGAGTATAGAAAACGTTGCACACATGGCATGAGCTGGTGGAAGTACTTCTGCACGGGAAAGCACTGGTATTGCACAGCACCGCCTGGAGTAAACTCTTTCTTGATACATTCACTCAACTTTGTTACTCTACAGGTCTTCAAGAACAAGGAAACATAGTGCTTCCTTAACTCGTGTTCGTCTGGAGGCCCATGTTTGGATGATCCACGCTTCTGAGGTTGAAAGAAATCTCCGAAGTCAAGAAAGTGGACCCTTTTTTCCTTCTGGAAAATCTTCACGAGACTTCTATCGTCAGCTATAAGTGGCTTGTCAGAAAGTGCAACCCATTTATCTGCTGTAGGAAAAATGCATACTTGTTCGTCATGTAAGGATCTTTCCAAAAAGGCAGCCATAGTTTCGTCGATTTGTTGATCAGGTCGTAAGCTGTTATTGTGGTGGCGTCTGACACATTTTTTGCCCAAGGTTGCAAAGATTTTCAATATATCGCTCAAAGACGAAGGAGAGGGAAAACGAGAAACTTCAGCAACAGTCGATGCCATTTCGATGTACTCACCCACATTAGGTGTCTCGTCGACACGGATAAGATCAACAAAAAAGGTTGCAAGACTTTCCTGGCTACTTTTGCTTCCGTAGAACCTTTCCAGTAGGTGCCTTGTGGTCATCTTGCCTTGTTCTTTAAAAAGCCTCAACAAGACATCTGTCGGATCTCTCCAGAAAACTTCTTTGTTCAAATAAAAAGATCCAGGTGATTGGCGTGTTGACTGAGGCTGACTGGAAGGTTGATGTGGGACAAAAATCATCTCAGACTTCAAAAATGCCTCTTGTATTTTCATCTCTTCTTTCCTACTCTCTTTCATCTTCGTGAAAAGAAAAGAGTAGACTTTGCTCATGTGCGAAACAGAAGTAGTAAACTCCTTTCGTTGATTTCCATCCATTTTCTCACTGCAACCACCTGCCCACCTCTTCATCTCCTTTATCAGTCCATCCACGCCTATGTTTTCTCGAATTCGTAGAGTTGTTATGAAAGAAGGACTCTTTAAATCTGCTGCGACGTACCTAACATGATTCTCAAGAAGCTGATAAACGCATTCACTCTTCACGAAGAGGTCTCTTGGAAGATAGAAGTCCTTACCTCCAGCGGCAGAGGCCATCCACGCTTTGTTGACGAGATTCAGGTAAAAGGAAGTTTGAGTTTCCTTGAGATTATGGCCGTTTGTATCTTTGACATGAACGGGGTCTTCAGCATATTGAGCGTACTCGCCATCCCAATGTTCATCTATGCACTGAGCCAAGAATTTTGCCTCCTCAGGACTGACTTGCTTGGCGTCAGCGGTGTCAATCTTTCGAAGAAATTCTTCAAATTCCTCGCAGGCCCAGTCATTAATAATGTAAAAGCCATCAGGAGTTGTCTGCCAAATGCTTTCGCACGACGCCCAAGGCGACTTAGCCTCAAGAATGAAAAGAAAACGGAGATATTTGGCTTAACATTGTAACCACAGATGTTCATGCTGCCTATTTACTTTTCTGACCGCATACTTTCAAAAATGGACCTCTTGAGTTGAAACTGAGAGACGTAAGTGCTACGTTATGAAATAAAAATAATTCCGTGATAACAATTATATAGCCAAGTGGGTGCTGAAATAAAGATTTAGGAACATACCATAGTGTCTCGATGTATCTTTACTGATTTCCTTTTAATGGAAAAAAAGTGTTTGACACCGAGCTTGGTAAGAAATTCTTTCCAATCCACAGAACTAGCTTTCAATGCTGCACAAGAGTGTAAGTACGACTCGTCAATAAGAGTCCACGAAATACCTGAACGGAGAAGAGAAAATGCACATTAATTACCTTCTACCTTCCTATCCAAGAGAACTGCAAATCAATGAACAACAGAAACACAATAAATGGTCAAAGCTTAGGAGTAACATTTGGTTGTTAAGTCTGATAGTCTGGGTTAAAGGATCTGTGAGCGGGACTGCTATACGTGAGAGTGACGGACGTTTCGATAATCTTAGCGGAAGTCATCACTAGTCTGACGACTCTTTAAAGCTGGTCCACCAACTTAGAAGATACCCCTCAGCCGATGGATGACATAACGGCAAAACTGGCCAGGTTATAAAAACCTCCGTCACTTCTGCCGAAAACAGTCCGTTACACTACTACCTTTACCCTCGTGATCAGATTACAGCAGCAAAATGGTGAAATTCATGCTAGATTTACACCTGCAAGAGCTG